AGCGGTAGGTTTCGGAGCTGAGACACTGACCCCCAGCCCAGGACCCCCACGCCCAGCCCTGGGACCCGAATCCCCAGTCTGGGACCTGCATCCCCATCCCTAGGACCCCAATCCCCAGCCCAGCCCCCCCATGCTCAGTCCTGGCAGCCCAACCCCCAGCCCAGGACCCCCACCCCCAGCCCTTGGACCCTGATTCCCAGTTTAGGACCTTCATCCCCATCACTAGCACCCCTATCCCCATCCCAGGACCCCCATCCCCATCCCAGGACCCCCATGCTCAGCCCTGGGACTCCAACCCCCAGCCCCAGCCCAGGACCCCAGTCCACAACCCCAGGACCCCATTTCCCAGTCGCAGCCATCCCACCTCTCCCTACCCCATGAGCCCACGGAGGCCCCACATGCCCTGCGTGCTGCGGGGCTCCAGGCCCCCAGGCTCCCTGTGATGGTGCTGCAGCACACCGGGAGCCTACGGCAGGACCGGTCCTTGCCCGGCACATCCTCATGCCATGCCGAACCCACAGTGTGCCCCCCTCCTTGCCCCCTCCCCACTGCCACCTCCCCACTGCTCGCAGAGCCCCAAAACCTGGGGCTGGGTCTCATTTCGCACAAGCGGTGGGGAAAGGACTCCAGAATATACCGAAATCATTTCTGTGGAACACATTACCGTCCTTAATGACTGTTCTTTTTCAATTAGCTGTCACAGCCCTGAAATAAAGCTGTGCTTTCTGTCTCTGATAAATCACTCCCTTTATTTGGAATTGGAATTAAAAAAAATAAAACCAACCCTTTCCCTTGCCTCGCTGCCAGGCGGGTTGGAGCCGCGTTTAAAGTTATCATCTCCGCTGCATTCAGGCAGATTGTCCGCTGTAAATTTTAGGGAAAATAGCAAAGCTGATAAATAAACATGCTGCTTTTGTCAGGGATGAATATTACAGTGGCTCAGATTTATAACGTGCATCGCCTCGGCATTACAGAGCTTTGGTGAAAGCGTGGTCGCAGCTTCTGCTGTGCTGCCAGGGTGGGTTACGGCCCTCATTTAAACAGCGGCACGAATGTTGTGTGGGATTTAATTTGGGAGGAAGGGGAGCTCCTTCCCTCCGACCTGCTCCGAGCCCCCCCAGCATCGTTTGCATCGGTGGGGTCATTGCCCAGAACCCCCTGAATTCACCCCAAAGGGGCATCCATCGCCCTGGCCGGGGACGGGGGCTC